AGCTGTGTTTGCTCTCCCAAAAGGTGTCTGAGAGGGTGTCGGTTTTCTTGCTGTGGTCCTGATGATGTGATGAGCCATGAAGGAAATGTCAGCCACGTGCACAAGGAAAAGAAAAATCAGTTGGGGTTTGCAGCACGACCTTGGGAATGTCTTGACTTGCCATATTGGATAGCGCTGCTGATCTGAGCTGGAGATGCAGTGTAAGACCAGCTGTAGCTCAGATATCAGGATTGGGCCCTGGTCTGGTAGTTCAGTGTTGTGTCTTTGCTCCAAACCTCTTTGTTGGTGTTGGTGTTGCATTGAGAGTGGAGATGTTTCCCCAGGTGGTTCAAATAGAGGGCCACCAAGCTGATCACGGGACTGGAACTATGAAGACAGGCTGAGAGAGTTGGGGTTGTTCAGCCTGGGGAAGGGAAGGCTCCAGTGAAAGCTGAGAGCCCCTTCCAGTGCCTGAAGGGATTCCAAGAGAGCTGGAGAGGGACTTTGGACAAGGGCATGGAGTGATTTAACAAAAGCAAATAGCTTCAGAATGAAAAGAGGGCAGGTTTATATTAGGTATTAAGAAATTCTTCCCTTTGAGGGTTGGGGGTGCTGCAACATGTTGCCCAAAAATGCTGTGGATTTCCCATCACTGGAAGTGTTCAAGGCCAGGTTGGCCAGGGATTGGACCAGGATGTTCTTTAAGGTCCCTTCCAACCGATTCTCAGAAGTTTTTTCTCCTTAGGGATGCCCAGCTTTGTGAGGTGTCATTGTGTGTTGTTGCCCCTGAACTTTGTGTTTGCTGCCACCTGTCCCCTGAGGCTTTTGCAGAGATTGAATCAGTTTTCTTCTGGTTTCCATTTTTTACTTCTCTCATGTCAGTACGATGGCACAGCCAGAACACACGTGAGCTCTTCAGCAGTTATTTCCTGAGAAAACCTCATGGTTGCCTTTTCTTTCCCCAAGATATCTGGAAACCACCATTCCTCTGGTTCTCTCATAGCCATTTATATTGGAGGATGATTGTCACCCCTGTGCATGGAGGAAACTGCTCTAAAAGCAGCTTTGCTGTGTCTGAGGCAGGGGCAGGTCTGCTGGAGCAGTGCTGGTGTGGCTGGAACCCTGCTCTGAAGCCTGGCAGCAGCTGGAAATGCAGTTTCCCATTAGCCCCTTCAGCTGTTGGAGTCTCTTGACGTGACACAGGGAAGTTTCTGCCTGATGGATTTCAGGGAGTGAGGCAAGGGTGGGTGTACATTTAAATTTTAATTCTGCATGACGGAAGATGCTTGAGAGACCATCATATTAATTTCAAAACTCTTCAGGATTGTGCATATTTTGCTGGAATGGTGCAATGGGTTGGCTGGGGAATAAGCAAGCGAATCAAGGATTTGCAGAACAGTAAAACTAACCACACAGACATGAGTTAGTCTGCACAGCCTCTCAGTAACCACCTGCATGTCTTCCTTGACCCTGTTCCTACCCCTAGGAAAAGGATTCTGACCCTGGAGGATCTTTTCATCCTCTGTGTTTTGGGTGGGAGTTACTGGATTGGAAGGACTTCCAATCTTCCATCTTCCACTGGTCCCATCTGCTCATTCATCCTCCAGGAGAAGTGGGGTGGATGTCATGCCAGCAGGAACTGACATTAGAAATCTTCATGTCTGGTGCCTGGGCATGGCAGAGGGGAGGGCATGGAGAATTCCCAAAAGGGCAGCTCAGTAATGGAAGGTGGTGGCTTCAGCTGGAGCAGAGACATCTCCTCTCCAGTTTCCTTGCAGCTGAGATTTGACAGCATTCAAACTTCAGATAACCTCCATGTGAAAGCCTTTGCTTGCTCAAAAAGTGGGAGCTGGTTGCGATCCAGAGATGCCATTTTGGGCTGGGAGGAGGAACACAGATCAGCACAGACAGTATGTGCAGGACCATGGGTGTGGTGGCTCAGCATCAGGGAGTGAGGAAGCCTGGATTCCTCTCTCCATATCAAAAATATTGGTACAAGAGGTGTTCACGGGAGTGTTTGTGTTGATTGGGCTTGGTCCTGTCCTGGTTTCCACCCCAGAGGCTCTTTAGGTTTTTGGAATATTAGGTACATCATGGTTGTGATGCAGTTTGGGGACATTCCTGGAGAACCCAGCAGGGAAATTCCTCCAGACAGCAGTTGATTGGACATTGTACAAGTGAGATGCAATCTGTGCCTCCACCTCAGGAATTGTGTTGTTGCTATTCTTTTTTTAATTTTTTTTTTTTAATAAATATTGTGTTTGTGTACTTGGATGACATTTCCCATTCAAAAATGGAGGCAAAAAGGAATGTGTCACTCACACCCAAGGCAGTGGGTGCATAACTCAGGAGAATTACTCATAAAGCCTCAACCTCATTATCCAGCTATGAAGGATTTCTGCCACCTTTCCTGAGTCTGGCCACAGTCCTGAAATTAATCTCAATTAAACAATCCTGATGGCATTTCCTCTCTCAGTGCAGGCAGAAATCATTTTGTCCCATGGCTGAATGCTTCAAACAAAGACAAAAATAGACAAACCCCCTCAAAAAACCCTAAGTATAATAATTAATCTGGTGCATTTGGGGTGTTAGAAAAGGATGCTCCCATCCCAGTTCCAAGCAGATGGTGGAGTGTGCAGCACAGGTGGAGCGAATTGTGGAAGACTCAATGCACCAGCTGAGAAGTTGAGGTGGTTTCCCTTGTGGAAAACCCTATCTCAGGAGGAGGGATAACTTCCCCTTTTGGGGAGCAGATGGGATCTGGAATTTCAGTGTCCTTGTGGGCACTGGTAGGATGAGCCGAGTTTTGGATCTTCTGAAGTACCTGCTGCTGTATTTCTTTCTCCTGCTGGAGTCACCTGGGTTTTGGCTACTCTTAGTGATATCCTGCAGGAAACAAGGATAGTGAGCCTGTGATGGTTAAATCCAGACATAAATGCACCTGTTACCTGCTTCTCATCATACTCTTCCTAATTTATTTCTTTTCCTGTAGCAGAAAAGAATGGCCTGTGAAGTCACAAATTTCCAGCTCTCAGCCCCTGGTTTCTGGTTTTCTTTCTAAAGAAGCAGGGTGAAGGAAAGGGGCTCTGGGATGTCCAGGAGGAAAAAGCATCCTCATAACCAGAGCAGTGATGATGTGGCTCAACAAGAAGCTGGAACCAGGATGTCCTGGGCCAAACAAGGGGACTGGCAGGCTGCACATCACCATGTCCTGCCCACTCTTCCCAAGCAGCAAGTGACAGGACAAGAGGAAATGGTCTCAGTTTGCATCAGGGAGGTTTAGATTTGAAACTAGGAAAAATTTCCTCACTGAAAGGTTTTTCAAGCATTGGAGGAGGCTACTCAGGGACATGGTTGAGTCACCATTCCTGGAGGTATTTAAAGATGTGTGGATGTGGCACTTGGGGACATGGGTTAGTGGTGCCTTGGCAGTACTTAGTAGTTGCACTAATGGATCTGAAAGGTCTTTTCTAACCTAAATTATTCTGTAATTCTAGGAAGCTGAGAGCATCTCTTCTGTCAGTTGCTGGCTATGACTGGTGGTTTTAAAAAGTTTGTATTTTCCCTTTTATCTTGCCAAAGGACACAAAAGTGCTGCTGGGCACGTCCCAAGTGTGGGACACTGAAGGATGAAGTGGATTAGCACTCATCTGCTATTGAAGACCACAGCAAACAAGAAGGGATGGAGTGGGAGGATTGAGCTGAGTTGCCCCGTGGTGATTTCCATGGGTTAAACGGGCAGGTCGTTGGGAATTACATCCTCCAGATGTAACAACTCAATAAGATCAATGTTTACAAAACCCCTCACACAATTGGTTCCAAATCTTGATTAAACCTCGAGGCTGGTTGTCCCCAGCCTGCTCAGTAACACACACTCACTTGTTGCAGTACCTTTTGATGTTTCTCCCTCCGAGCAACAAGAAGCTGCTGCTCTGGGAGGGGAAAATCCTCTGTCACAGTGTGTAATTGGCTTGGTGTATTTGCACAGAGGTCACCAAGGGCTGGGATTGCTGCTCAGCTGCTCTGGGCAAATATAAATCATTGCTGCAATTTTATCTCTGAATTTTTCTCTCTGGGGAAATTGCTTCCTTTTTTTTTTATTTTTTTTATTTTTTTTTTTCAACTGAGCTTTCTGTATAGAGCATGTGTGTAGGAAGTATATGGCATTTGTATAGGAAGTATTTATTAATGCAAAAGGATTTTAAAGTGTTCAGCCCACAGTGACCAGAGCCGAAGGCAGTGTGTGAAGGGTTTCCTCACTGGTGTTAATTGAGCAAAGCAAGTAGGCGTATTAATTAAAAGGCCTTTTGTGAGCTCTTGAGAGCTGCCTGGTGCTTGTCTAATGCAGGACCTGCCCCTTGGGGTTGTACCAGTGCTTTTTCCTGGCAGCAAACTTGGCTGCTTTTGTAACCAGGAGGTGTTGTTTCTAGAATAAAAGCTAAAATTGGAAATTCTTGGAAGGTAGGAGTGTGTGTACATGTTTGAAGGCCAGCAGGAGAGAGAAAGAAGCGGCTGGTGAGAAATGCCAAGACTTTGATTCAGCAGGGTTCTCCCTGTTCTCTCAAATCTGACACACAGAAATGCTTAACTGGATTGTGGCCAGAGTGTTCCTCCCACAGCAGGTGCAGGATCTTAAAGAAGACTGGACACTTAAACAAGTGATTCTCATTTTCCATTGAAGGTTTTGATTTGTTATTTATTATTCTTGCAGGTGTCCTGCCAACAATTACAATCTCCTGCTTTTATGTAGTTGCTAATCTGGAAATATTAAAACCTTCTAGGAATTTTAAAGATTTATACCAACTTTCTTTTGAAAAGGAGGTGCTGTTCCCCATGTTCAGCAGTGATGTTTTGAGGAACCAATTGTTCTTTTTGTACCTGTTCCTACAGCCCAGCTCAGAGGCTGCAGGATGTGACTGGATATCAGAGCTCTTGGTGCTGATGGTGGCCATGTCCTTAACCATGACACTGAAATAGGGTTTTTTCCCAGTACTTATCAGTTGTCTTGCTTTTTCTTCCAGATTAGAAGAAAGTCTTGTGTGCCCTGGGAGAGCAGGACTTGGTAAGCAGCTGGTAAGAGCATCTCTTCAGGAGGGGGTCATCTGAACATGGGGCTCAGGCAGATGCAAATAAAATTTTGCCCTTGAGAAACTTTTTTTTTCCCATGACTTTCATTTTGTAGGAGTTTCACTCTCTTTTGGACCTAGTTGCCAAAAGGGAGAGCTGGTTTATGGAAGGTTTTGCTGGTGAGGCTGAGGAGGGAGTGCTTTATCTTTGCTCATATGGAAAGCAACCTTATCCAAGAGTTGTCTCAGAGCTTTGCCCATATTTTCGTGTTCTCCCTGTGTTCTCATTGTGCTGATCCTTTGCTGGTTCCATGTCCCTGATCTCTAGAGCAAACCATGCACAGGAATAAAATAAACATAGAGAATGGCAGTGCTTTGAAACTTGTGTGCTTGAGGATGCCAGGCAGAATTTGAACCATGGAATAGTCTGGGTTGGAAGCAACTTTTGAAGGTTATAAAATCCAACTCCCCTTCAATGAGCAGGGACATCTCCAACTTAATCTGGTTGCTCACAGCCCCATCTCACCTGACCTTGAATCTTTCCAGGGATGGGGCACCTGCCACCTCTGTGGGCAACATTTGGTCTTACCAAAATCTTTTTTCTTGCCTGAACCCCTAACCTCTTTCAGTTTGAAACCATTACCCTGACACTACAGGCCCAACTAAATCCATCCCAAATTTCCTGAAATCAGTGAGAACTTTATTGATCTGTAGGTCTTGAGGTTTTACTTCATGCTCCTCATCCTGGAAAGGATGGCAAAGCCTTGTTGGTCTCCTTGAGCAGTGTGAAAGACAAGCAGGGGCGTGCTGGTCCCATGCCACACTGGTGGGATGTTCATGTTTCCACTGGATGCTCAGTGATTCCCCCTCAGGGGAATTGCTTTTTGCTCCAGCAGCAGATCCAGCCGTGGCAGATCCATTTGTGGGCAGCACAGCCACGGCCAAGTTCCTCTGGCTTTTTTTGGGACTATTCTGCCCCTCCCACCAGGTTTACCTCCCCTTGGAGGCATAGGGAGAGTTATAGGACTCCTCCTTGGTGACCCTGGAGACAGAAATTTATTCATCCCCTGTAAGGCTGGTGTTTAGGGAGGGAGCAGTGCTTTGTGTAATTATTCTGTCACCTTTGGCAGTACCAGTGCTGAATCAGTGTGATGGGTGTCCCCTTTGATACAGGTGATGTTTCCCTAAATACCAGTGCTCAGTGCCCCTGAGTCTCCTCACAGCAGTACTGAGAAAAGAGCTTTAGTGGTGTTACTGCTGCCCTGAATAGTCCCCCAGCACCATGTCTGGCTGGAGAGAGAGAGAACATAAATTGTCCTCCCACAAGGGACTGGACTGAAAACCAGAGGATCTGGCTTTCAGCATGAGCTAGTCATGCCTTAAAACAAATTTTGCTGAGGATATCTTTTCTCAGTTTTATGGCTTTCCCTTCCCATCTCTTACTTCCATGTGCAATTTTTTCTGTGTGGCAGAAAGGAGCTGGTACATGGGAATGTGGCCCTTGGGAGCAACCTGGACCAATGGGTTAGAAAGCTGTAGTCAGCCAGGTGGTGGGACAGATTGTTTCAGCAGTGAGGGGGAAAATAACTGTTGTGCCATCCCTGTGTGGGTGACCAGCCTTGCCCTTGCTGGATCTGGAGTCACGAGCCTGGGGCAGGGCATTGGTGGTGGTGAATTGTAAAGAACACCAGGTGTGATGAATGTGCAAGTCCTGTGGTGCTATGAGAGCTGCCATGGTGTCAGCCAAGCTGGGGTCAGGATCTCTCTCCCCAGCTGTTATGATGGTGTTTGGCTGTGTTGACAACACTTTAGCCCCCGTCAATTTGTTGACCAGTCCAGTCCTGTCACTGTCCCTGTGTTGTCTTTGTGCTCTTGCACACTCATTGATTGCCTTCTCCCCACCCCATGTGTACCAGGGGTCTGTTGCTCATCCTGTCTATCTGCTGTATGATGAGAAAAGTGGATGGAAACTCTTCAGGAAGAGTCACACACTTCAGGTTGAGTGTGGAATGCCCTTGAAAATCTCACTGCTTGGTAGCCACATGTGGTGCTTTGGGAGCAAAGCTATGGAAGGACATCATTGCAGCAGAGAGTCCAATGCTCAGATTTGTTCTTGCTCAAATTTGTTCTTTTTCACCTCCTGATACCCTGGAAGTCCAGGCAGTGGAGTTGTTTTTACCTTTTCATGCTCTGTGATGAACGAGCACCAAGTGAAGGCAGTTTTGCTGGAAGGGCTGCACAGGGCACAAGCACAAGGTGCTCCCTGGCCCCAGCCCTTCATCCACATGACCAAGTGTTTGCCGCAGGCTGCTGAGGTCTGGAGAGGTCTCTCCTTGCTAAGTAGACCAGCAGGGTCCCCCTGGGGACTTGGTTCAACTGGCCTGACCTGTGCCTCAGCCATTCAGGTGATGCAAGTAAGAGGTTGGCTGGGGCTAAGCTTCTGCCTGGATTTGTGTCCAGCATCAGCTTCACTGCCCAAACTTTTTGTGTGTTACTGAGTGGTTTTCTGTCTTTGTCTGGTCATTGGTGCTTTCTGTTATAGGCACTGTAATTGGAAAAATTGTGTTTTTATCAGTCATAAATGTACATCAGTGTGCACACAACAATTCATAAAATAAACCTTTATTTTATGGTTTAAAACATGTATGGTTTTTAAACATGTAACATCCATGTGTTGATGTCCTCATTGTGCCCAGGTCCTTGCTAGATCTCATTGCATTTTCTCCTTGTCCCCATCTTTCTGGTCTTTTCAAGTGCCAGTGGTGAACCTCACAAATGCTGCTGCTTTTCATGAGCTGTTCTCTCATGTGCTGATTTTGTCTTTAGGGGTGTCAAGGACCTGGGCACTTTCTTTGTCCAAGGGCAGATACAAGGGGTCAAAGTTGGTGATGGGACAAGAGGAAATGGCTTCAAGTGGTTCCAGGGAAGGTTTAGATTTGATATTGGGAATAATTTCTTCACTAAAAGAGCAGTCAAGCATTGAAACAGGCTGCCTAAGGAAGTGGGAGAGGGATTTAACAGGTGTGCAGATGTGGCACTTGGGGGCACATCATAGTGGTGGCCTTTGCAATCAATGCTTGGTTAAAGCTGTGACTTGATGATGTTAAAGGTCTTTTACGACCTAAACAATTCCATGATTCTTTGTGGACTCCTGGAGCACTTGGCCTGCCATTGCTCCCCTCTCAGCGAGCTGCTCCGAGCCCTCACCACACACTGGTGATCCCTGGTTGTGACACTGCTCTGTGGGATTTCCTCTGTGGAAAGGAAAAAGAGCCATTATGCAACACCCTTGTGTGGCTGTCCCAGCTGTCAGCATGTGATGTGAGCACTGTGGTGACCCATAAACCCTTCTCCCTGGATGGTGGGTTAATCTGATAACTACCCATGCCTGCCTTCATCAGGATGTCCTGGCATTCAGTGCACTCCCCTCAGAGCAATGGGCAGTGTCATCAGGCTGCTGGCACATTTTGTGTTTTCTCAAACCAGTTTCCTGGCCAACATTCCAGCGCTGGGGTGGTTTCTGGCCGGATTTCCTCCATGTGGTGGTCCCTGCTCAGTGAGCAGAGCTGGCTGCGCCTCCACAAAGCCTGCGGCTCCCATCTTGCTGCTTTTCCCCTGCATCTCAATCCTTGCATTCCTGCAAGAGAACAAGATAATCTCTGTGCTGGTTTTGTAGCAAACTCTCCTCAAAGTGACAGCCGTGGGCAAGGCCATGTGGATGTGGTGTGCTGGGATTGCTGATTTCCTGGGCTGCCGTCCTTATCTCCTTAGCACTCAGAGTTGCTGCTCTGAGCTCCCTCAGTTGTCTTCCTTGAGAAACGCTGCCTCCAAGTAACCAGGGATCTGCACAAATTCCCTGGTCTTCCCTGAAGAAGTAGGAAGGTGTTCTCCCACTTGAGTGGTGTGCTTTGTTTTTGGCAGAGCCGAGCATGCAAATAGAGGGAAGGTTTCCATTGTTGGATGCGAACGCTGCTGTCTGGCTGTGGGAGGTGTCTGCCGTGCACCACATGGGAAGAGGGTTTCTTGTGATTTGGGAGTGCTCCTCAGATGGGGAAAACCTGGGTGCTGAGGAAGGATTTCTAATCAGAAGGCTGGAGCACCTCTCCAGGATGAGAGAGTTGGGGCTGTTCTGCCTGGAGAAGGCTCCAGGGAGACCTTTGAGCCCCTTCCAGTGCCTAAAGATGCTAAAAGAGACCTGGGGAGGGACTTTGAACAAGGGATGGAGTGACAGAACAGGAGGGAATGGCTTCAGACTGACAGAAGAGAGATTTAGATTAGAGATCAGGAAGATGTGAGGAAGGTGAGGCCCTGGCACAGGTTTCCCAGAGAAGCTGTGGCTGCCCCATCCCTGGAAGTGTCCAAGGCTGGGCTGGACAGGGCTTGGAGCACCCTGGGATAGTGGAAGGTTTCCCTGCTCATGGCAGAGGGTTAGAATAATGTCTTCTTTAAGGTCTCATCCAACCTGGATCTTTCTATGATTCTATGTTTTTTCCTTTGAGATGTGGGGAAATACAGATAAGTGAAATTACAGTTGTTGCAGTAGCTATTACTAAGGACAATTCCTGGATGTTTGTAATCTTCAAAAAATGAGATTAATTTCCACTGCATATTAAGGGATTGATGGAAGCTTTCCTGTGCTGGGAACCAAGCACCAGCACCTGAAAACACATGGATCTGGATATTAATGTCTTTCCCACATCTCACACTATGGGAGCATCTCAAGTCACCTCTTTTCCAGCCTAAAAATGTTCTCTTTTTCTTCTAAAGTGTGGTGGGGGAAAGATGAAACTGTTCTTGCCCTCCCTTTATCAAATGGCAGCCAACTTATGGTTGGGATTCTGTAATAGGGTTGAGGATTTAACCTGATTTATTTATGCATGCAATTTTTGAAGGAGAGGAGTTAATTTTTCTCTTTTGACCTGGAATTTACAGAAACTCAGGTCCCAAAATCAGGAGCAGGTGCCTCCTTGTCTTAAGGCAGAGGCAACCATGAGGCTACCTTCATTT